TGGAGAGAGTTTATTTATTTTGCAAATGTTGTTGCTTTGTTTAGTGAAAATGTAAACTTTTCGGCGTCAAAATGTTATTATCCGCTGCTGATTCAAGCTGTGACATCTCCGGTGACATTTCATAACGACCAGCAAACAAGAGCACGTAATACTTTATAATAGAGTGCTGTCGTGGTTGATTAGGATAGTCCTCGGGGCAGAGTAGATTAAAGTCAAAATCACTGCTGGAACAAAGACAAAGTAGAGGAAATTGAATACGCAGGGAGTCTGTAATAAAAAAACACTAAATATATGGTGATTTGCTACTGATGGCTACTGAAGCCATTTTTTGTCGAGTAGGCAAAAGCAATACAGCGGAATTGGGATTTTTCAAATATAATTTCTTAACAGCCTGTATAGGATTTGAAAATTTAAGAAAAGATTGGGTTTTATAGTTTAATAAACCTGAGCAATGTAATCATTCCCAAAACGATATTTATATCAGTTCTAATATACTGTCAATTCGATCGTAGCGCGCAAAAATAAACATTTGCAGTACTGAGTAGGAAAATATTTTGAGTAATATTCAAACTGGCTCTGCTGAAATCTCTCTCAAAATTTCTTGTAAGAGCCGTCAAAAATTATATTCTGGTCGAAATGTTTCATAATTATGTGGACTCCGAGTGTTAAGAAAAGTACCACACACATACCTGCCTGCCAAACATGCACGCTGGCTGAATGGTAAGAACGTCTTTCACGTCAAAAAAAAAAGAGCAACAAAATGGATAACGGACTGATTCAGAAATATAGTGCATAGACCTAACCGAAAACTAACCATGCATAGGCAATTGAAATTGAAATAAAAGATGAAGAAAAAGAAAGCCACTTTAACCTGTGCAACATCTACTGTGTAGCATGCCAAATTGCAAATTTTCCTATATTGTTTGCATCATTAGTTTCCAGAATGTGAATGAGAGAGTTGAAAATACGACGCGCAGCGGAGTATTTTTAACGAACTTCGAGGTGTTTGGAAATGTGGTCAAACCGTGTCTCGAGTGTTTGATATATCTTCTCAGTCGAAACTAAAACTGAGGAGAAAACGAAGAAATGAAATTGTAAAAATCTACGCTAATTAAGATTACATATCCAAAGACCGTCACGGTCATGATTTCCGTTGTCTAAGCTTCGTGAATTATTAATAAGTTTGAGAACGTAGTGTACA